TTCAAGAATCTATGAAAATAATGAAAATAATACTAATTTTTGATTAGTAACAGAAATAATGCAAACAGAAGTAACGAAAATGGATCGTCACTGTTCAATGATATGAGTTGAAAGCAGATGCTTAAGAATGTTTTTTGGTAATTAACGAGTTTAATGAGCGATCTGGATAGGTGTATTAAGAAAGACGAAATGATAAGAATAACCAATGTGAGCATGCTCTGATTCAATCTCCATGCACCACAACATCCCAAGAATCCAATGATCGTCATCAAAGCACCGGCCGCAATCAGCAAATAACACGTAATATAAAAATTATTTGTATCGCCATGAAGCGCGATCAGTTCTGATACAGCTCCATCGAATCGAAGCCATAATCCCAGACCAAGTATGCCCAATCCAGCCAACTTCAAAAAGCAAATACTTATTCATTCATAGCTGCTCTTTTCATTTTATATTCATGTAGTATATTCGAAATGAAATATTATCAGATAATAAGAGTAATGGAAATATTAAACAATATTAGTGTTAATAATAATAATAGTGAATATAAGCAATAATAATATAAGTATAATATTAATAAGAGCCTAGAGCATGATATGTATGTATAGCTGCCCAAATGTTTATATGAAATTGATGTGATTCTCGATGTTGTTTTCCACACATGTAATACAAAAGGATACATATGTAAGCATAAAAACGTTTTTAAAAGGGAGTATTTGTAAATGAGTAACAAATAACTGAAATTGAAACAAAAAAAAATTTGAGAAACTAACCCAAAAAAATAGATTGAGAATGAAAACAATTGAACGCAGTGTGGTAAGGCAGCCGCCGCCACCGTCAGCCATTTGAATGTAAGTTGAGTTGAGTTGAGCCAAGCCTTGCGAAGCCTGTTTAGCGCCTTTCGCCTTCGTCTGCTCTTCTTAGTTTATACGAGGAGTACTTGCTATAAGCTTACTTATTTGTTTATTTGCTTGCCTTAAAGCTAGATTGTGGCTGTATGTATGGATGGATGGTTTATTACGTAAGCACGCAAACAGCCAGCAGGCGTGGCCTGAAAAAGATTTTAATTAGCTCTAGGTTAACTCACTCTAAAATTCTTGAATATTGCCATTGATGTTATTATTATTGATATTATTATTATTGTTGTTATCATTATTATCATTGTTATTGTTATTATTACCATTATTTCTTGCTTATTGCTATTCATACTCTTCTTGCATACATCTATCTCCTTTGTGCTAGCGTGCTCACTTGGAATGCTGAATGACTGGATTAGAGTCAAGATACAGAATGATTGAATGCATGGGTGGGTTGACAAGAGGGAGAGAAATAGGTATTTGATAAAGAGATAGGGGGTGGTGAAGCTTAAGACATCAATGAGAGATATGGCTAGATTGAGATCAGTAAAGCAGGGAGATACATACAGTGAGGGATGTGACCGGATTAAGCGGATATAGATTGAGAACTAGTGGTGGGTTTGAGCACGCATTTTGAAGTGAGCTAGGTAAGACGTGAAAGAATGAAAAAGCAGAACAAGAGTGAATCATTGGAGAATAAAGAAGTAATTGATGGATGGATGGGTGTGTATGAGGATGAATGTAGAAAAATCGAACGGAATATGACATGATATCCAAGGAAACTGATCAAATGTAGATATTTTTGGTTGATATAGCGGCATATGGTTAACTATGCCTATATATTATTCCTAGTGAAGATGTGTGAATGAGTATAGTGATATATGCAGATAGACATCAAGTTTCAGGTGGGGTTCAAACGAAAAACAAGTTTAGAACGAGACAGTCGCCATCTCGAATGATTTGATTTGAAAGAATTCGTTGACTTGTTATGAAGTAAGTGATAGAGGGATACATTTGTGAGGGAAGTTCGAATGTGATTTGTTTGTTATTGCTGTGCTTGTTTTTGTTATGGATAAAAAAAGAGAATTCAAAAAGACATTTCAGATTAGTTTTTCTTCATTCACTACTCAATTGATACTATAATTTATGTGTACTATATGATATTATCATCAATTACATAAAATATTTTATAATGTTAAATAAATAGCAATTTATGCCAATCGGAAGTGAAGAAAATGCAAAGTAGTGAACGAATGAGTTATTTAGGAAAAGAGCAACTGCTCAATGCTGTTAAATAGATAGATAAGTAAGTTTTAAGCATTGTCAAGTAATATTGTAATAGATAATAGTTGATTCAATAGAAGTTATAATTTTTGGTACATGATGCATTGTATAGTGCACGATGAGTTCTTCTTGCAGTAATTTTCTTTATCACTGTTTATATTTTGTTTTTGTAACATGTCGTAGTCATTAGTTGTAAAGACATATCAAGTGAAGAGACAAAATTGATTGCGTTTATCAGTGACTCTTTTGGAGACGTATTTGCATTAAACTCGTCTCCTCCAATCTGTCCTTCACCCACGTGGGTGCGCTTGACACAGCTGACTGGGTTGGTTTTGCATGCATCCTTTGGACCTGCTTACTTGAACATCACTTCACAGAGGATTCATTGATGTGATTGCTTCTAGCAATATCATTAATTGAACGTTCATACAACCGCATTGTTTTAGGCGATCCAATATCGTAAGTATTTCTTTAGAATGGTTATAACTAGGTTGTTGCGGGGAACGGGCAATTTCGGCGACTCCGTCTCTGACATTTCCCAAGGTGACCGCATTTTCGGGGTTCCCGACCGCAAACTTCGTCCCCGATTTTCTAAGTCCCCGAATCTTTTTCCCTGTCCGCAACCAACACTCACTTTATATCATATATGTAAGTATTTCAGTATATATTATATGTTGTATTTATTGATTATTTACATTAGATTACTAACGAAGAATTTACTCAGCCTTCTTGCCTACTAATATAAACATTGGCAGACTCGCTAACTTTAAAAAGAGGCAATATGATGTGCAAGGGTGACACATACGTGCGAAATGATATGATGAGACAAAACGGACGAATCGCTCGTTTGTTAAGCTGCACTGAGTTCATGTCTAACTTTTGCCTTTTTGTGATATTTATACAACGCGGTGCATTTTTTCCTGTAGATATTGATGTATATGATGATAGTAATAACAATAGCAACATTGAATGTGTGTTTATTTGTGTAGAATGACAGATAGAGGACAAGACAAGACAAATACGTGGAAACAGTACATGAAGTGATAGTGAAATAAACAAATTGTATGGGTTATACATATATGTAGCGATGTGTAATATGCATTCATAGTTATTTTTGTTGTTGTTGATAGGGGAAATGATGGCTTTAATCTACAAACAACACCACGACAACAGGACCAAGCCAACGTTGGCAGACGACGAGCATTATTTGATGTTTGTTGTGGTCGTGGAGAGAAGAGGCTTTTGATGAGCGTCTCAAATCTATGTAGAACGAGAGACAGAAAGATGTTTCCAATTGGATGTATATGAGCGACTAGGTTATAGTGATAAAAGCAGTAGTATAAATTAGTCAAATAGTAGGTATAATACGAATGTATTCGTTTGATTGTCATATACAATTATTAAATGTGAATTTATTTACGGTATGTGATTAGTGGGTATTGTAACAGGCGACAAACAGCCACAAGCAAGTTCTATCGAATCACATTCTGTTCTGTGTCCTGTTTTATTCGATCGTGCTCATGCAAAAATATATTATAATCGGTACCTGATGGTTTCGATTGTATTTATTTTTTACATTATTATTATTATTATTATTATTATTAGATCTTGTCACTTAATAATAGATGAGATTAAAATTTGGTTTGTTGAACAGGAGAACAGTTGTTGAGTGGTCTGCAGCATGTATTTAGCGTTTGTACAACAATGGAATTTAACGTTTAGCTGAATTGAATTGTTCCTATTCGGATGGTTTGTGTTGTTTTGTTGAGTGAATTTATTGATAGTCGTGTTACGTACTGAAGGAATTAATTAAATAATTAGGATTTGATTTATCCTCTCCGTAAACATTGATCGTTCTTGTTCGAATATAACGCCGATCGTGCGACTTCTGATTTGCAGTTAAAGTTCGATCTTGAACTTTTTAGATTTGTTTCATCGTATCCTTTCAGTACACAACACCGTTTCCTCTACTCCCTATCACGTCTCGTTTCGATCTTACTATTATTATAGTCTTGTTTTCACCGTACTCTTTCATGGTCAAAAATAAACGCAACCGGATCGCAGAATGTAAATCAGTGTCGTTCTCGTCTCTCTGAAACGAATCTATAAAGCGAACAAAATAAATAAGCACTCACTCGCATACGAACGAATCAATCAACCGCAAGAAAGCGCACTTATCAATGAGATGCACTAGGCTGATTATTGTAAGCAGTTCTGAACTAGCTGTCTGACTGACTCATTGCTCTCTTCTTCTTTCCTCTGATTTCATCTCTGTCCTACGTTCATCCTCGTAAATCTTATCATTATTAATAAGCCAACACGAACAAACTGCCTAGCGCAACTAGCACTTGCAACTGGTATTATAATAGGGCTGTTTTTGGTAATGCTAGTGTTGCTGGCGTTGTTTTAATAATAAGTGAATGAATAAATGAAGAATGCATCAACTCAGCTTTGGTGTGTGTAGTTTGTGTTAGTATTTGTTGTGAATAGCGGCAGCAGTAGCAGTAAAACAAGTAGCATACCCTAAAACAGCTAGCACGCAGCAGCCACAGGCAGGCAGGCAGTTAGTCAGACGAAGAACAAGAGCACAAACCGACCAACCAAACTAATAAACCAACAAACGAGTAGCCTAAGCCTACTAGAAGATTTAGGAGGAGGCTTACGACGACAACGACGAGGAGGCAAGCCTGTCAAAGCTGCTCTCGACTGCAAGATTTCGCGAATCGATCCATCCGAGATACGATCAATCCGAATTAATTGAGCCAACCAGTCAGTGATCAACCGCAGCAGAACTTTACTTTGATTGCTTGATTGATTGATTAGTGAGTGAGTTATTAGTTGCATATTTATTTCAGAATATCGTAATTTCTGAGGTCGCAGCCCAGAAAATTATACCATTTGGTCTAGAAACGACCCATGTGAAAAAAACTTGTGTGCAAGGTAGTTGTTGGTTTGACTTGTTTTGGCATTAGGTATCATATTGCGCGATTTTTTCCGCCCGATTCCCGAATTTCCGATGCCTCCCTCTTTAAAAAATGCCCTACATTCCAGAAATAATCAGTGTGAATTTTCACTTTAAAAAAGTTCATCTAACAGATCGCTGGCTCAGACTATTGTTTTGCTCAATGCATAGCGTAGATGGCGTGATGTTTCGATGTAATTTTGTTCGATGAACGTTTACACAAATTGTTTCCAGTCGGCAGAACTCACCATTTTGGAGAGTAGAAACAAGAAATTTGTGAATATCGAAATTTCTCTATAACTGCATATAAGACGAAAGAAGGTTTGACCCAGCGATCTGTCAAATCAACATTTCACATTGATGGTTTCTAGACCAAAAAGTGCTTTTTTTCCAGGCTGGAACTGCACTTTTCAGTGTTTCATTTTTTCTACTCAAAAATTTGTCATATTATCAATAATAACCATGATTATTTAAAAAAGTTGTTCGCAAAAGCAGTTAAATAAAGAGGAGAGTGTGTTCCGAGTTGGAAAGATGGTAGATGAAGGGCTGGTATATGAAATGGTTTAGTCTGTTTGTATTTTGTGACGGATGTTTGATGAATTGAATAGTTTTAGTGAAAGCATGAAGGGAAAAAGATTCACTTAAGATGTATGAGAGGGAGTAAAGTGAGTTGAATTATTATTTGATAGTTTTCATGGCTAGTTTGATTGCTAGTTGTTTGTTGTTTCGAAATGGTGTGGCTGCCTGTCGCGAATTGGAGGCAGAGGATAGATAGGTATTTGAGGAGTGCGTTCAGTGCCGTTGTGTGACTGCAGGCTACAGCTGTTCCAATCAATCAATCCATTCATATTCCTTCTTTCATTTAATATTGATTTTGTATTTCATTGGTGTGCTGTTAGGTGGAAGTTTTGAAATTTCAATCTTTCGATTATGTTGATGGCTATTTTTGCTATTATAAAGAAAGAATCTTTACATTATTAGCAATGAGTATTGTTGTGATAACTCTTATTATTGTCATCACTTTCAGGTAAGTGAAATAGTAGAGCGTGCAGTGGAGATAAAATAAGTTCACTTTTATTGTTGGCGATTCAAACAACAACAACGAATCAACAAAATAATTATTCGACTCAAATTCATTCGAATACTAAACCGAGTAAATTCTATTTGCCATTCCATTCTACGCTAACTGTCGCTAAACTCTTTCGCTTATTGATTAGTAGTGTTTGTTACAGTGAATTTCTCTGTTATTTTGGTTACATATTTATTGCACCTATGTGATGTGCAATATAAACGCACACATAAATAAATATCTTCAGCGATTTTTCATCGAACTGGAAAAAGCAGTTGGAAAGGAAGCTCTATTTGTTCTAATAAATTAGAGTAAACACAATGGGTAAGTTAGTCAGTACTTATCTTTATTATTATTGATACTGTATGTGTTTTTATGAAAATTCCTTCCGAATCGCTCATGTGAGTTATAAAATTTTGTGACGTCGGAGACCAGCTCAGCCTAGGTCATAATAAAATATCTCAATCCCGGTTACATCACTATCTTAATAAAGCCGTTTCTAAGTCTGCAAAACAACAGCATGAGGTAAATTGTGATATTTTCCATTCGTCTAAACCTTTTCAGAAGTATATGAGAGTAATTGAATGTGGCGGTATGAGCGAATCAAATATTTGTAATCGTAAGTGCAGAAATGTAATTCCACGTAGCATATTTGCATGTGAACAATCAATAGGCATCCTTTGAATAGCAATTAAAAGCAAACACAACATGATCGTGAACATTTGCAGGGAAAATCAATAAAATTATTAGAAATAATTATGAATTGTTCCACTCGAATGAATGTTCAAATAATCTTTTGAATGTTAGAGGAAGCATCTTTAATAAATGGTGATGATATACTTAGTACAGACCTTTTGTTAGCATTGTTGACTCTATATCTTCAATGTTTTATCTTTACTACTGGACATACGTAAGATTCTTCACGCTTCCTCTAAAGCTTTCTAATGTTCGTAATTGACTGCAGCCTATATCGTGATTTATTTCGTTGCTTCGTTTATCGCAGCAATGTTTAGAAACCGCTTTAGGCAGGCAGCTTGTTGCAAGTTGGGCGATAATCAATCTCAATGCATCAGATTCTTCTGTTTCGACTTGAGGGTTCTGATGAGTTTCTCTATCTCATCAACAGTAGTCTTCGTGAAATTTTTACTAAGCTTTTTAATTGGCCCTTTTGCACATTGCTTCGATTATATTATTTCGTAGAAATAATTGAAAAGATAACTGACTCTTTTCGATGGAGAAAACCCAGTTGGATCAGTTTTTTCTGTGCTTTTTGGGCTCTCCTGCAACTTACTGATGACAGTGAGCTCGTGAGTTGTGCGAACTGTTTCTTCATTGGCTTGCTCTCCGACTGGCTGATCTCATTTGGATTGAGAATGTTATGAATAATGTTAATATGGTTATGCAAAAGATGTTACAATAAGAAATTGTTGAATAAGGATGTGGAAGTGAAGTGATTAAAGTCTCCTTGTCGGTATACTTGCTATGAGCGATTCAGTTAATTCATGAATATAATCATCCGTGAGAACGGTGACAGAGTTGTGTAATAGTTTCAAAATCTATTCACTACTGGAGCTAAAATAACCTGTAGTTATGCGTTCATAGTGGAAAAGCTCTGGTCGGGTCGCAGAGGCCAGCTTGTTCTCGGATGATATAAAAAAGTTACGGTCATGCGAGAGTTGATCCAATCAAAAAATTTCTTTTGTATTCCTTGTATGCCTAATTTGATAGGTGAGCATTAAAGAGTGTTACTAGAGTGAGATTGATAGAATAGTATTGTGCAAATGACGCATTTCATTGAATGCGATTGATTTTTCGGTCTCATTTTTAATTTTATTCGTTTGCGTAGTATCCCGATCACAATTTTAAACAACCTTGAGTTAGACAGCAAGCTCATGATCAGCTAGCAGGAAAGATAAGGGCTTCGATAGCTTGTGAACTCCGCAAAAAGGTTGGGCAATTTAAGTCTCAGGACTGTAAACAAAATTTCCTGCATAGCTGGGACATCCTTATGGGAATGGATGGATGAATAAAGAAGGTGGTCTCTCATTATAGTAGTAGTAATAATGCTAATTCAGGTAAAAGGTGTTACGTTTGCAAAAAGAAGTGTACTGGAGATATCTTGAAAGCGGAAGGCGAAAAATTCATCCATATATCATGCTTTAAGTGTGCCAGTAAGTTATTATCTCAGTGACTGTTGATGTAATATATAATCCCAAGAATGACTGACGCGTGTTGCAGAATGTTCGAGATCGTTAAGAGAAACAGGCTATTTTACGGGTGAATCAGGTGAGTTTTTGTGTGCCGAAGACTATCGAGCCATAAGCGAGCAGCAGTCACAAATACAAGCGTTATCACCCAGTAAGGATGAGCAACCGCAGCAGCGAGAAGGCGAGCAGAAGGTATTGTCGTTGAATAATCAACAACAAAGCATCAACAACAATGAAGCTACATTCTCGATATCACCCGATGCACAAATCCAACAGCAACCCCTCGCTGATGCACCATCGTCGCCAACTAGTCCTCCTCGCTCACCGGGCTCACCAACCGGTATTTTTGATTATTATCATTTGTGATTGACATCAACTGATGTTCATTGGCTGTTTCAGTGTGTGCAGCATGTGATCAGCCATTACAAAGTGGTCAAGTACTGCTGGCGTTGGGTGAGCAGTGGCATGTGTGGTGTTTCAAATGTAGTGAATGTGCAGCGGTGCTTCAAGGCGAGTATATGGCACACGAAGGCAAACCGTTGTGTATAAGAGATTATAACTTGAAGTATGGTGTGAAGTGTTATGAATGTGATAAGTTCATTGCTGGGAAGGTGTTGCAGGTTGGTTGTCGTATTTGTTTGCTTGTTCGTTTTGTTAATGATGATTATTTGTATTAAAGGCTGGAGGTTATAAATTTCATCCGACGTGCGCGAGGTGTTCACGTTGTGGTGAGCATTTCGGAGACGGCGAAGAGATGTATATGCAGGGCGACGAAATTTGGCATCCTCGTTGTGAGCACACAAGGACAACAGAGAATCTTGCTGTCAGTTCATTTGTCATTCATCGATTAAGTAATAGTTGTATATGCATCTTTTGGAGGTTATGTTCATTTTGTTATGAACATGTAATATCCACATTCAAAAACAGAAGCAATGTAACTATAGACTAATAATTATACTAGTAAAAATGATAAGAATAAATTGTTTGTTATTTAGCCTTCGCCCGGTGGCAGAAGTTCGTCATTGCGAGCAAGGCGAGCTGCAGACGAGCCCAAATACCACACACATTTTGGTCAACATCTTACTTATATGTATTTATTGCCGGAAGCTGAACAGACTTATTTGAAACATCCGATCGCGCCACATCCGCCTCAACCGGCACAGTTCCATACACCACAAGGTTCTCACTGTTGATGTTCATTATTTGTATTATTCATCAATCTATCTGTTTTTAACCGTTCTCTTTCAGGACCTATAAAAATCAGAAAATCGAGAATGTCAATGCTAAAGACCGGTATGCAGCGACTCAGTAAGTGGCTCGCTTGTTGTTGTTCTAATGAAATCATTATAATATTAGAATTATTCATGACGGTGTTCTTTTTTTAAATATCGTTTTCGGCGTATTGAATATTATTAATGACGATGATTTTTGTTGATTGCTCATAAAATACTGATCTTACTAGCAGTAATTTATCAATTGATGATTTGTTGTTTTCAGTTAATTTTCAATGAAAACTATGGTAAAATTTCAGCCGAAGATCTAGAGCGAAATACACCACGAGCGAAATCACCGCATATGGATAATGAAGAGCCAATTGAGATGGCACATTATCCGGGTGGTCACGCACCAGATCCGAGTGTTTTGCCACCGATCGAACGAGAGGACTTCCCTGCTCCACCCTATCCGTATGCTGTGGAAGAACTAAAGCGTCGTCTATCGTCGTCATCAGTTGAAAATGCTGAAGATGATGACGAGTCAGACGAAGATTATGAAGATAACGCAAAATTAGACGAAGAGAAGCTGAAAAGAGCTGTTGAACAGTTGGATACATACGATAAAGACTCGTCGATTGCGCATGTAATCAAACAAAATCTCGAAGAAGCTCACAAGAAACAAAGGTTAATAGTATCCATAATCATCGTCAGTTAATGTTTTGCGAGTTAGGTCCAGTAGAGACCTTACGGTTCTTATCATTAATAGTGAACAAGTGGAATTCTATTCTAGCTAGTCTATTAGAGGACATTCTAATCATAAAGTAAGAGTTTAATAACAATGAAGCAATTATTGCTGTTTTCCATTTTTCAGATTGCCTCTACACTGGGATCCACGAAATGCGAGTAGAACGCCATCAGCGAAAAAGATGTCGCACTTGAGATTTCGTTACGATACACCGATCAATGCTTGTTAGTTGTTTTGGAAACAGCAATAGTAACGAATCAACATTGTGCTTGTTTTTTATTCATGCTAGAAATGAATGGTGTAATGACATAATGTTGGTAATTCAAGCGATAATAATAGAGACACTTGACTGATGTATTTAGCTAAATAAAAGTAAACTTGCAGCACCATCGAGACATTTGAATCGTCCAAAGCCATGGATTTATTGGCAGGGTGCAGCCGGCGGAGATAAAGCAGCCACAACAACGATACCCTTCTTTCATATACCACAGCGAGCCGGGATGTGTGGACGTGCGGCGACACTTCCGGACGGCTATCATTATGGGCAAGTGACTGCTGGTGATCTGAGCACAATGGATGGTCATTTAGATAGCACTCTAACGTCGCACTTCTCTGATCGTTAGTTTTTTTTGTTTGTTTTTTGGTTTGTTTGAACTTTGCAGTGTTATCTCATAGGAGTGATTGTAGAGTCATTGAATGGCACCGCTGAAATTATGGTTGGTGGCGGTGGTACTCTACCCGGTATCGGAGCGGTTATTCCTGGAACAGGTGGTGGCGGCGGAACGATTTCAACTGCAGGATTGCTACGCAGTTCTTTACCGGATATGAGTAAACCAGCGAAGATTTACGCGTTGAACGAGCTGCAAACGAGCAATAAGAAGTTACCCGAAGATGTGGATCGTGAACATCTGGAACGACATCTGAATCGTGCTGAATTTGAGCAAATCTTCAGCATGAGTCCAATTGAGTTCTATAAGCTTCCTGAATGGAAACGGATCAATTTGAAACGCAAAGCAAAACTTTTTTAACATCTCTGTGTTTAGTTGTTTTTGATCATTCATTTCTTGACTTTGTCTATCTCTCTCTCGCTCTCCATAATAATGTCTCTTTTGTTTTTATCTCATTGTTGTTGCTGTGCTTCTTGCTTTTTATTCTTATTTTTCTTTACCTCTTTGTTCTTGTTTATTTAATTGTTTTGCTTTTCAGTTGATTAGGTAGTTGATTTGTTTCTTTCTTCCATCTGTTCATTAAGGATTTCATTCAAATAAACTGATATTGGATAATGATAAAGGTATGTTTACGCTGACCGTATTCATGTTTGTCGTTGTCATAATACCCCTAGAAAATTCTCATGAATTGTTTGCAAGCAATTTTGTGCTGCCTACTGTTAATGATAGGATTTTTGAAGTGTTTTCTGAAAGGTGTTCTTTAACAACAGTAATCATTATTAAATGGATGTTAACATTAGAAATGCTATTTTTTAAAATTGATTGCTGATGTATTATATTATAGTGCGTGCCGTCCGTTCGCCAAATGTCACATATTTGTTCACCGTTCAGTTCCATTTGCATTCTTTTATTTTATGGGCATAATAATATCCTTCCATGAGTTTTTCAATCGGATATAATATCGTTATGGAATGATATGTTTTATGCAGTTATTCATTGCGCTCTATCGACACTATGCTAGTTATTCATCAGTTTCACAAAGCTTTTTGGTATGTGTAAAAACTTTAAGAACTATTATGTGCAAAAATTTTAACTTACGATTAATACTACCAAACTGTGTGGATTGCTCTCTTTTTTTGCTTTACTCTTATTTTTATTATGTTCATTGTTATTTTTAATCTTAATGTAATCATCATTAAACTTTTAAAATTATCCCAATTACACTTAATTATCTTTATTAACAACAATAATAATTTTATCGCTGTTAGGAATTAATGAATTTCCGTTTTGATTTTATCGTTTTTGGTGTTTTCATCCAGCCACTATCCCTTAGTGTGTATCTGTTCTCATTTGTTTTATCGAAAAATTAATAGTTGATATTATTTGAATTAATGCGTTGTGAATTGATTAACTAATTAATTAAATATCTTTCAAGTTTTGCAAAAACTTAAATTTTCCCAATGGAAAGGGGGGGGGGGAGTGGTTGGTTGTGGCTATGAGAGCCAAACGCCTTAAATGCATGCACGATGGCTAGTCAAAATAACGAAGAACAATCAGTGTAACTAATGATTCCTAATACGTAGTTTTAGTTCGATTTGCAATCTCATCACATGAATGAATACAAGTGAAGGGGAATAAGAGCCATGCTTGATGCATACGTTGTGTTTGATTCAATTATAATGTTTCGTCAGTCAGTTGTCATCACTCATCTTACACCTCATTCTTCGTGTATGCTATAGTTCATCGTCCACTTCATAAACGGCTACATCCAGCACTTTACTCTTTGCCTAACTGCCTAATGGAGTTGATTTGGTTTACTCAATTGAGTTTATTATTCATCTATGATTATATCTCTCATTCCTCACATCACATACATCCATTCCATCTTCTTTCAGTGTAATCAAATTCCAATCCCAGTTGAATTTTATCCATCCGTTCAATAAACCAGCCAGCCAGTATCCAGCCAGTTAACGAGT